GGCCAGAACGCAAAGCATTCCTCCAACCTCAACTCCAGAATGAGTACTTTTTTTTTTTGTAAGCCAGGTTGGACTTGAACTTCTGGGCTCCACTGAGCCTCCTGCCTCAGCCTCCCAAGTAGCTGGGGTTTAAGGGGCATGCTGCTCGCTCAATTTAGAACGACTGCATTGAAGATACGCAACCCTAAGGAAGATAGTAGACCTCTCCATTTTACACTGAGGCAGGAAGGAAGAAGAGCTGCATATAATGTGCTGAAAGCAAGTTTCCAAGAATCAAGGTCAAGATTGAAACCTGGCAGTTTGCAAGGGTTTTCTTGGCTTTTGACTTCACACGTCTGAGGGAGGCCACAAGAGCTTCATTTTTACCTATTTTTCACTTGAGGAACTGGGGTTCCAAGAAATGTTTCCCAAATCAAGCCTGCTGCGCCAAAAGCATAGCTAGGAAGGCTCAGGGCAGGAAAGGTCCTACCTGGTACAACTCACCATAGTGAATTAAACACACATTAAAACGGAGGCGCACATCTATAATCCCAGAGGCAAGAGGATCAGGGGTTCAAAGCCAGCCTCAGCAATGGCAAAGCACTAAGCAACTCAGTGAGACCCCGTCTCTAAATAAAAGTAGGGCTGGGGTTGTGGTTCAGTGGTAGAGCACTTGCCTAGCATGTGCTAGGCGAGTTGAGCTCTCTACCACTGAGCCACAACCCCAGCCCCCTGAAAAAATGTTTTTAAAAATTTAAATATCCTATAGCTTCCCAGGGACCAGAATCCACCATCCAGTGATCCTTACTATCAGGGGTTTCTTGCAAAGTCAAATTAATGACTAGAAAAGTTCAGGTTTGGGGGTTGCCTGATTAAGTCTTCCTATTTATTAAGTCTTCCTATTACATTCACTGAACACTTAATCTGTGCCAGGCATCATACTGGGGGCTTTATGCATATTAGCTCTTTTAATTCTCTGATGTCAGTTCTATTTTCTTTCTTTTGTCGGTGGCAGTATTGGGGATTAAACCCATGGGTGCTCTAACACTGAGCTACAAACCCAACCATTTTAATAATTTTTTTTTTTGTACCAGGGATTAAATCCAGGAGTGTTAACCATTGAGGCACATCCCAATCCTTTTTATTTTTATTATTACTTTTTTTTTTCTATTGGGGATTGAACTCAGAAGTACTCAACCACTGAACCACATACCCATCCATTTTTTGTATTTAGAGACAGGGTCTCACTGAGTTGCTTAGCTCCTCACTTGTGCTGAGGCTGGCTTTGAACTTGCGATTCCCCTGTCTCAGCCTCCTGGGCCGCTGGGATTACAGGCATGTGCCAGCATGATCAGCATAAATTCTATTTTTATTCCCAATTTACAGAACAGAAACAGAAGGCTTGGAGAAGTGCCCTATTCTGGTTGCACAGTAAGTAAGTGGTAAAGCTGGAATTTGCCTTTACCTTGGCACTCTCCTGCTTTCCCAGATAGTAATTCCCCAGTGTGCAGATTTCAAACTTCATGTCCCTGAAGGATGAGCCTGAAGACATTCCCACCTAGTGTGGTCTTTCTTCCCTTATTTTATTTCCACTGAATCACATAACACACTTATACAGGCACACACACATATATCAGCTATGCACTTAATTTATTGCCCTACCTGGTTGCAGAAAGGGAGGGAGAGAGTCCCTAAGACCCTACTGTTTCCACTGAAAAACAGCTCTAAGAGCACACCACGGTAGGCCTTTCATTGTCTGGATGGCTTTTTTTTTTTTCTTGTATTAGGAATTAAGCGCAGGGACACTTCACTGAGCTATATCCCAGCACTTTTTTTTTTTTTTTTTTGAGACAGGGTTGCACTAGTTACCAGGCTGGCCTCAAATTTAGGATCATCTTGAAAGTTCAAGGACAGCCTCAGCAACTTAGCAAGGCCTTCAGTAATTTGGTGAGACAGTCTCAAAACAAAAAATAAAAAGGGCTGGGCAGTGGTAAAGAGCCCCTGGTTCAATTCCCAGTACTTAAAAAAAAAAAAAAAAAAAAAGGTGATCATTGTGCCTCAGCCTCCCAAATCACTGGGATTACAGGTATGTGCACCAAGCCCCGCCAGCTGGACTTTCTTAAACATTCTCAGAGCTTTGGACTCAAGAAGGCCCCTTCAGCAATATTTTTCGGTGCTTATTCACGCCCAGCAGGGAAACAGGTTCTTCCTGATTTGGACCAAGCTCCACTATCAACATCTTGGGTGACTCATTTATTTATTCAACAAATATTTATCATTGCAGCTACTATATGTCAGGTGATGAACCAGGTGACAGGGATCAAATGTTAGATCATGCTAGACAAGGAGTCTGCACACTAGTAAGGAAAACACACCTCCATTAACTGGCCATGTGAACTTGAGAATGCTGGCAAGGTCCTCAACCTCCTTGGCCCTCAGGTAAGATAAGGGTGGTGCTGCAATGGCTTCTCTCCGCCTCCCCCCATCTCCTGGCCCCAGCTGTCAGGTCCTATCCCAGCCTGCTAAGAAATCCAAAGTCCACCCTCCAGCAGACTGATCCTGGCTGAAAACAGGGTTGTTTTCTCCTTCTTTGCTACCCCTGGGGAAAAAAAGCTGGCTGAGGTGGAGCATAGTGGCCATTAGGGTGACCTTCACCCTAACCAGCCTCATCAGATCAACCCCTGCAAGGAGGATGCCCTGGGAGAGCTCCTCTGGGCTGGAGAAGCCTGGCCAGGTTACCTGAGTGGTACTAGATGGGGTGGGGGTAGAGTACTTCCTGCTTCCCTGAGCAAGGACCCCAGTGGGCCCTGCCAAGATGGTATTCATTTTCCTTTGCCAGAAATACACCCTGCTGGTCCACTGGGGGCCCAGTCTTCTCCCCTGGTTCTGAATGCTTCAGTGTAGGCTAGATTCCAGTCACAGTTTCCCAATCTACAAAATGGGCTTGAGCTCCCCAGAGTGATCTAGATAGAGGCAAAGAGGTGAGTGCCAGAATTCCCATAGCCAAGCCCTGCCCTGAGCCCCACAGCATGAATCCCCTATAACAGAAGTGGGAGAACTCAGAGCTTTACAAAAGAGGAACCAGAAGCCAGAGTAGGCAGCGCCTCAGGACTGACATCCAGCTGTCTGGCTCCCTAACCCACCCACCTTCCACCATACTCTGTTGCAGTCCCCATGGCAACAGTGGTAGTGGGAATCAACACTCAAAGCTGTCTCTTACTGTGTGCCTACCCTGTGCTAGGTGCTTTGCCCACATTAATTCATGAATATGATGTTTCACAGAGCTAAAGGGCAATTCTCAGCAAGAGCAAAAATATCCTGGCACCATCAGGGTTTGCAAAAACCGATGGTCCCTGAGTGATCCCTACATAGCAGAAAAGATGCCAAAACCCCATTTCCTGTGGACAGATAGTTCTGCCAGGACTAAGGTGTTTGTATAGGGAAGGGGGACATTAAGTGTCCTCTCCCTCCCCATGGGCCAAGCTCCTAGCTCCAGCCCTCAGAAGTCTGACTCATTTCCCTCCCCAGCCCTCTGAGCTATCCTGATGCACCAGCCTCACCCACTTCCCTTCCCCTTTCAGGCCCTGTCCACCAGTCCTCCAAGTAGGGCTCCCCAAGAATACTGCAGGCTGGTCCTCCATTTCCCAGAAATCGTCTAATTGGGACTGAACCTCTCAGCCACCTTTGGTCCCCATACTGTCACAACCACAGTGTTCCTAATTCTGAACAAAGGATCAGATCAGTGGCCCTTAGCCCACACCCAGGGCCTGTGCTTGCCTCCTTAGGGACTCTCCATACTAGCAGTGATGCTCTCGTCCGCGAGACTTGAACTTTGAACCTAGGCTCCCCTCCCCGCTAGCCGTCCGCCTGGTTTGGCTCTCCTTGGAGCTCTGGTTCTCAAGGGCCCGGCAAACAGTGGCTCAAGAAAATAAAGTGGGGCCAGGGAGCCCAAGGAACCGAGCCAAGGTCACTTGGAGCGAGGTGACGGAGAAAGACCTCGGCCGCAGCCTCTCGCCGCCCGCGACCCTGACAGCCCAGAGCCGGCGCAGCAGGCTCTCCCACCGGCGACCGGAAGCGCCATGTGAGGAGCTGTAAACACAGCCCGCAACGCCCCACCCCCGCTCCTAGCCCCGCCCCACGGCCACGTGACGCACCCCGCCCGCCCCCGCCGCCGCCTCATTGGGTGGCCAGCTTTGTTTACCTTATATGGCCAGGTCCTAACACCCCACGGCGGCCTATTGGTAGAGGCGAGGCCTCACTCAGCTGACGTCACTCAGGACGGAAAGATGCAAATAAACCGGAGCATTATGGGAATGGAAGTCCCAGGCCACTCCGGAACTGTCTCCGCGTGGTCCTGGCGCCGGTCCGTCTTTGCACTGAGGATCAGGTTTTGCATGGTAAAGCGGGATACTGCAGGGATGGGGACCCCGAAGCGACAGGGGACGTCCCCCTCGCCAGCCTCTAATGGGCGCCGTCACTTCCCTAGGTGCTCCTCGACTGTGGCGAGCCGAAAGCCAGGCTGCGGAGGGCGGTGCGGGAGTGTGCTGCGAACCTCGGAAGGCTTCCTGGAGGCGGCGACTTCAAGCAGAGTCTTGCAGGGCAGACTGGCTAACCGAAGGATGTTTGTTGTGTACCAGTTTTCGGGGCCTTGCAGCCTAATACAGTGAATTCTGCCCCTGAGCCCCCCTAACACGGGCACATGAGCCACAGCGAGGTGCCCGAGCCCCGTGGTGGGCGTCCGCGCCCCCGCACACACCTGGGACCTAGTCCCCCGACCCTGCATCCCGCCCCCAGCGGGGCGCGGGCGTGCGCACCGTAGGCGCTCGGCGTCCACGCGCCCTCCCCGGCCCGGCCGCCCGACCGGCGGCGGGGGCGGCGCGGACTACAGGTCCCAGCATGCCCCGCCGGCCGCCGGCCGCGAGGCGGTGAGTCAGAGCGCACGGTAAATATTTGTATTAGCCGAGCCGGCTCGCTAATGGTGGACGCGTGAGGCGGAGGCGCGAGCGGCGCAGGGAGGCCGGAGCGGGCAGCGCGGCGGCGCCATGTCCGTGAACATGGACGAGCTCAAGCACCAGGTCATGATCAACCAGTTCGTGCTGACGGCGGGCTGCGCGGCCGACCAGGCGAAGCAGCTGCTGCAGGCGGCCCACTGGCAGTTCGAGGTGCGCGGGGCGGCGCGGGCGGACACGTGCCGGAGTGCGCTCGCCAGACTGCGCCGCGGCTTCCCCGAGGGTCCGGCCCCGGCCGGGCCTCGCCGCCGGCGGCTCGGACGGGGACCCCCCCTTTGTCCTGGTAACGGCCGAGGGCGGGGCCCGGGCTGGTGACCGGAAGGAGGACGCCCCGGGCCTGGCCGAGCGGGCCGAAGGGCGGAGCCGTCCGGAGCGAGCGGGCGGCCGGCCGAGGGTCGGTGTGCCCGGTGGGCAGCCTGGCGGAGGTTGCGTACACGTACATGTGCATCTGTGTTTACGCACGCACCGCGCCTCGGCGTCAGCGGGGCACCTCGAAGGTTGTGGGCTTGTGGGCACTGTGCCGGCGCGCGTCCCGTCGGCTGCAGCTGTGTCTGAGCGCGTGTGCCGTGTGCCCACTGTGTACGCTGGCAGATGGGCCCAGCACCGCGCGCATTGCGGTGTGCGGAACCCCACACTATAGCGTGGGGATGTGTATCTGTGTCCCCCGTTGCAGAGGTGTGCGGGTGGGCGGTCGCTGCGTGGGGGTCCAGATGCCCTTGGTGCTGGCAAGGGAACTCTACCTGGGCGGCCTCTCCGGGGATGGTGTGTTCCCTGGATCTCAGGCTAGCTAGCAGGAGGACCCCAGTCTGACTCCCAGTCTCCCATTTTCCCGCTAACCTGGAGTGTAATAGTGCCCCCCACCCACAGCTGTTTGTATTGCCAAGAGGCCACCTCATCTCCCAACTCAACAGCCCCCTGAATCACCCCTTGGTGGCATCTAGGATGAGGCCAGAGAACCTGGAGCTGTGCCCCTCAGCCATTCTACTAGTGTCTGCCCGGCAATGGCCCAAGAACCAGTTTTTTCCCTATGGGAGCCACCTAGGGGAAGGTGCTTGAGCTTCCAGGAAGAACCAAGAACCCCTAGAGTGACGCTCAGCTGCTTTCGGGTGCAGTGGGGATCAGAATGACCCCATCTTGGGACAGTCTGTCAAGGTAGTGGCCCATCCACTCAGATGAATTTACTTGCCTCCTTTCTCTAAGAGACTTCTGGGTCATTGTTCCTGTGATGGCCTCAGGAGAGGGGAGGCTGCTCTCTGCAGCCTCAGTTTCTAAACCTGTCTCTGAGGGGAGCAGTGAGAGTCAGCCTCTAATGCCTGAATGGCCAGATCTGCCCTTTAGTCCCTTGGGGACACTCCACACCTCTCCAACAACCCTAATCAGCCCTGATGTCTCTAGGGCTGGATGTGGCAAAACTTGCAAAACCACATTCATGGCAGTTTGTGGAGTCCCGTGTCTACATGCAGGGCTCTCTCCCTGTCTGAGCTGGGCAGGCAGGTGTCCTGTGGGAACTGGGCCCTGTGTGCAGGCTGCTCAGCTTATCCCTTTGTGCCTAGCACCCAGGCTGCATCCCTCAGATAGCACAGGGTGGACTGAAAATGTAGTTCTGAAGATTGTAGTGTCTGGGGAAGAGGGGCAGGAACATCCTGCAGACTATAGGGGCTGAGGGATAGAAGTCCTGTGCCCTTGGCTCCCTGAGTCTGTTCCACTATCTGTAAAATGGGGGACACTAGGTAAGTCAGTGGGCTGCGAACCTCCAGTCTCAAGTCTCTGGCCAGGAGTGAGGGCTCCTCATAGTTAGCCCATCCCCTCCATGCCTGCCTCTCACCTGGCTGATGGCATACAACAGGACCAGGCAGTGTTTCTGGGTCACATTCTTGATTCAAGTGCTAATGGGGGCAGAGGCTGCAGGGGGAGGGGGACTCTGTTTAGCTAGGCAGATGTTTCTCAATGGAGGACTCACACTGTGGCCTTTGGAGGACAGAGTTGGCTATGTCCCCTGGGCTGGGGGGAGCAGCCACTGCTGCTAGAGGGTCTTGGCACCAGGGGAGGTGCTTAGAGACCAGCTCCCATGCCTGAGCTCCTACATACTCTGGGTTTGGGAACCCAGAGTAGGATGTCTCCAGCAGGAAATTCTTAGAATAATTTAAATTTTCTTAAAAAAGAAGCAGCAGCAGCAGCCCCTGAGGGCAAGCCCTGGGAGCAAGGCTGGGTTTCTGGGTCTGTTGGGCAGAGGAAGGGCCAGGAAGTCAAGCTGGCATTGGGCAGCTTAGGCTGGGTGGCAGTGGCTCCAGGGCCCAGCTTGGGACGTAGCAGGGCTCCTAGGATCCCTCACATGCTTGACAGGCCCCCACACCCAGCACAGCAAGAGCAGTGCCTTGGTTTCCTGCAGGATCCTGAGGCAGAACACGTCACCGGACCTCCAGAGGAGCTGAGCTGGTCCCTGTAAGGGTTGCTTCCACCTCCTTTGCCACTGCCCTCCTCATCCAGTCCCAAAGACTGCCTGGAGCCTCAGGCCTGGGCCCAAACTGCACCTCTGCTTTTTGACAATCAAATGACCCTGAATGGGTCACTTCATCCTCAGTTTCCTTTTCTATAAAATGATTGATTCCAGTCTCAGTCTCTGGAGTTGATACGTGCCCCATTTTGATGGACCCATACTCCGAGGGGCCGTGTTTGGTGTGATAACCGTGTGGAGTACCATACCAGGCGCCAACAGGTGGCCTGGGAGTGCATTTGTCTTGGGAGCTATCTCAGTCCCTTGGTGGGTTCACCTACTGGCCACCTTGAGGACATTTCTTAGGAGGCACAAGTGAAAGTGTAAAACACATGTTCCTATCAAGTTCCAGTGATCTTAGGTAGTCATGCTGCAGGAGGGGAACCTGGGTACCAGCTAGTCCAGTCTCTGCTGATACAGATGGAGCAGCTGAGGCCCAGATAGGGGCGGGGCCACATGGTCAGCCAGAGGTGGAGCTGGGCCAAGAAGCAGTTCTCCACCCTCCAGGGTTCAACACCTTCTTCGAGATTCCCTAGTTCCCACATGAGAAAATGGGCTCAGAGAAAAGTAGGGACTTACCGCCCTAAAGGTGGTGACAGAGCCAGGCTAGGATCTCCTGAATCAGAGACAGGGGACTGCATGGGCTAGTTAGGGTCATGCAGCCTTTCCCCAGGAGACAAGGCAAAGCCCAGTGACAGTGTCAGGAATGTGTGTGTGGGGGGGTGCTCTGCAAGCAGGAAGCACTTGGCAGGGGTAGGCATTGTTGCTAGAGTGTACACTGCTCACCTGACCTGCCCTGGGTTCCATGGCACCTTGGGCAGTGGAAGGATTGAGTGGTAACAGGTGCAYTGCTGGTCCTTAGCCATTTCAACTGACCCTGTCCTAATAGAAGGTCAGGCCAGGATCACACAAAGCCCCAGAGGACCCTGGGAACAGGAACAGCCATGGGGCTGGGCAGGGTCCTAGAGGATAAGCACAGCCTTTTCTTCCTGCAGACAGCCCTCAGCGCCTTTTTCCAGGAGACCAACATACCCTACAGCCACCACCATCACCAGATGGTAAGTGTCCCCTGGAGACCCAAAGGTGGCCAGGCTGGGGATTCTCAGTCCTGCGCAGGGAAGGAGGAGGCTGAACCGGTTGAGTATATGAGCATCCCACCAGGGGCATGCAGTGGAGGAGGGCTGTGCATAGGGCTCTTGGCAGCCTGGGTTCAGTGGGACCTGGGGCACACCAGCCCTTGGAGGTTGGTGCTACTCACCCTACAGCCTCCCAGGGATGCCAGGCCAATCAAGGGTGCTGGGCAAGCTTCATGACCCCTGAGCCAGCAGGCACCATGCCTGGTGATATGGATCTACTGCACAGGCCTGTCCATGGGGTGGGTCAGGTCGGGGTGCTGCACCTGGGAAGGGACACAGGAACTTCCTGACAGGAGCTGGGCCCTCATTTCTCCCTCTCTCCTTTCTTCCCCCACAGATGTGCACTCCTGCCAACACCCCTGCCACACCCCCCAACTTCCCCGACGCCCTCGCCATGTTCTCCCGTCTCAAGGCTTCTGAGAGCTTCCACGGAGGCAGCAGCGGGAGCCCAATGGCCACGACAGCCACCTCGCCCCCACCACACCTCCCCCATGCCACCACGGGCAGCTTTGCAGCACCCAGCTGGCCGACTGCAGCCTCACCCCCYGGAGGCCCACAGCACCACCAGCCACAGCCACCCCTGTGGACTCCGGCACCCCCTTCCCCRCCTTCAGACTGGCCACCCCTGGCCCCCCAACAGGCTGCCTCAGAACCCAGGGCTCACCCTGCCATGGAGGCAGAGAGATAAGGGAGGCCCCTCCCCCCTCCCGGAGGCCAGGACCCCGTGGGGCGGGGGAGAGGACRTCTCCGTGGGCCCCCTTGACCCCTTCTCTGTCTGCGCCCCTGTGCCCCAGAGCCCTGGAGGGGGTGACGGGACTCTAGCCAGGTGGGTGTGTGTCGTGCCAGCAGGCACAGCTGCACTCATGCGAGTTCACGGAGCACAGGCACACAGCCCCCAGCTCGCATGGACTTGGCTCAAGAGTGGCTTAGGCGCCTGACGGACGGCACCTTGGAGACCAACAGGCCTTCCCATGAGGACTCACCCACCCTCCCCTGACCCAGCCCAGGGGTGCTCCAGGCAGTCACCCAGTGGAGACATGGCCAGCTCCTGACTTGGCGCTCCGCGGGGCTGGCAGGCCTAGGTCCCTACACTTGGGAATGCAGAGCCTTCTCCGCATGTGCGTGTGTAGCTGTGTCTGTATTTATACGTTTGTCACTCTTTAAAAAGCAACCTAGATTACGGGGCAGCTGGACTTTGCATGTTAGAGTGAGCCCCAAGCCCCTTGCCCACCACCCTTCCCCTCAGGGCCTTGCCTCTCACCCCAGCCCCTTGTCAGCCAGCATTGCTCTTTCCTGCAGAGAAAAGGATTATGGGAAACTCCAGGACTCCTCCCACTATCCCCAGCGCCTGCCTGCTGGGGCTGCCTGCATGCCTCCCCCAGAGCCCAGGGGTACCTGATTCCTATCTCCTTTCCCCATTTTAACAGAAGAGAAGAAAATTCCAAACCACCCCAGGCTTTGTGGTCTTGCCTTGTGCCCTAGGCTTTGCTGCCAGCTTGCTCTGGATAAGAATGCCTAGCAGTGTCCAGGCCACTCCAGTCTCACCCAGCTCCACACYGCTGCCTATCACTGTCTTCGTTCAGAACCTGTCCTGGAATCTTCCTACCCACCCAAGGCTTTTCCCATGAAGTTAGTTTTCTGGCTTGTGATTCCAGAATACCACCCCTCTTCCTGCTTAGGACAGATCTCAACCCCCAGTTTTGAGTGAGCAGGACTAATGACTGCTTCCCTCTTCCTGGGCTTCWCATAGGACTTTTCTTGGATCCTCTGAGTTCAGCCTCACAGCACAGCTAGTGGGGCAGCCCACTGGCCCCAGTCCACCTGGGAAACCTGGGTATGGAGGAGGGAAGGGGAGTCCACTCTGCAGTTTTTCCACTCTGGGATGGAAGAAATTCTCAGTCCCCCACAAGTGGTAGGAAAATGCTTTGCAGAGTGAGTTTGTGTTTTGGATCATCTGCCATGTGGGTAAGGGCATGGGCCCTTCCCAGGGCAGACTGCTGGGTGGCTCTAAGGGTCAGCTATGCACAAGATAGCACACAGTCTAGATTCTGCACAGTTGGATGCTGGGTAGCATTTTTAAAAAGTAACCAATGGCCCCTAGGGGACCAAAGTAGGCCCCAGATTAACAGCATCACTCAGTCCCCAGCTCAGACCCTCTGGTACCAAAAGCAACACCAAAGTGTCAGATGCCCTACATATCTTTACTAAATGCTGGAGTTTGGGGTGTCATTCGGAACCCATGTCTGCCCTTGGGGCCACTGTGGGCTGGGCCTGGAGGTCTCAGGTAGTCATTTTGAAGGCAGAAGGAACTTGGAAGCTCCTGTAGATCTGGCCTTTCCAACGCTGCCATTGTTGACATCGGGAACTGGACTGCTGTCCCCTGTAGTATGGGTTTCCTCTACATCGAGATATCAAGTAGCATCCCAGAAGCCTACCCTAGAAACAGTAGCACCACCAGTTGTGACAATCAAAAATATCTACTGATATCTGCTTTGGGAGAAGTCACCCCAGTGGAGGGCTCCTATCTAATCCTGCGGTTTGCACACTTGGCTGCCCTTCTATATCAGAATTTGGGGAGAAGACCCCCAGTGGATACCTGTGATCCATCTGCCTAAACTAATGCCACTCACGTTACACTTCAAAAAAGTGAGCTTTATGGTGTGCCAGTTATGCCAGCAAAGCTGTTACTAAAAATAAAAGCACTCCTAGAGGATTCTGATGCAGCTGCCCCTCACGTGGTACAGCTACCACCTCCTGCTTCCCAAACCTGCAGACCAAGAAGGCCCCTGAGTGCTTGTCAGTCATGCTTGAGGCAGCTGCTTCAGAGGAGAGGCCTAGACTGACAGTTAAGTGTCCTAGGAAAGGAGGGGTCTTTGGGCAGAGTAGGCTGGAACAGGGCCTGGGAATCTGTTTCCCAATGGATGCCAAAGCTGTGTTGGGTATGCTTTCAGGCCCTGGCCTGAGCATCCTGTAGACAAGGGAGGGGCTGCAAGAGTGGTCCAGGACTAGCAGGGTGGCCCACAAAGACACCACATGCCTCACAACTCGAGTGTGACAACATGGGACCTTCTGCAGCTTAATTCAAACCTGAAGCTGAAAAGCAAAACAGACCAGCGACGACACATGTTCAAAAGGAAGATGGCTAAAAAGCTAAGGAGTTGAAGTTTCAGGACAGACTCCAAATTCTAGGCCTCCCTCAGCTGTGCTTCATAGCAGCACTGGGAGCTTCCTGAACAGCAGGAAAATCGCCTTGTTACTTAGAAGGCCAGTGCATCTGAGCTGATCATGCCCTGTTCGCCACTGGGCTGGTGCTCCAAACGACTTACGACTGTCTCCAAAATTCCACTCTAAAAGTACGCTACTGTGCTGGGTGTGGTGGTGCACACTTGTAATCCCAGAGCCTCTGGAGGCTGAGGTAAGAGGATCACAAGTTCGAGGGCAGCCTTAGCAACTTAGCAAGACCCATCTCAAAAAATAAAAAGGGCTGGGGATGTAACTCAGTGGTAAAGAGCCTCTGGGTTCAATCCCTGGTACCAAAAAATTAAGAAATAAATCAAAACCATCATTGCTATCCATGACTCTGCTCAAAAACAATGTGCTTCAGGCTCTTCATGCCTTGATTCCCAGAGAGGAAGGGCAGCACGTGGGAACCAAAGCCTGCACGCGGGTGTTGAGCAGTGGCTGCTGCCTTTGGGTCTGCTTTGGGCAAGGGCACATCTCGGGGCTCACAAACCCTCAGCCCTGCCGGGTGCCGGTGTGGCCTGTGCAGTACCGCACACGTCGCAAGGCATTTGCCAACTTTTTAAATTGTGATAAGCCTGCCTTTTGACGTATCCTGGAAAACTGGAATGTATGGCCCAAATTCCCTCAAGGCCACAAGTGGCTGGTATTGACCACATGCTGGGACACAGCCTGGCCCACCTCTGCTGGCCAGCCCCTGTACTGCCTTGAAATCTGCTGGACTCAACAGGAGCTTGCTTTTCACCATGAGCAGCTGCAGAAATAAACATCCCTGCTCCATGGGGAGGGCCTGGCAGATGAGCAAGACACTGAGCTGTCTTCTGCTGTGGGCAGGCTCCTCCTCTGACAGCTTCAAAGACAGAAGGGCTTCTTGTGCTTCGAGAGTCCTGGACACCAGGCCACACCCAGGTCTGCTGGGTGTCCCCAGGGTCTCTCCAGTGGCCCCACCAGGGCTGTCTGAGAACACACAGCAGCCAGCCCATAGAACCACACTGTCCCACTGACTGCCGCCCTGCAGGTCTCAGAGGGGCTCTGCCCAGCATCGCTCCCCAGCCAAGGACAGATGAGTCCTTTGACTTGGATCTACCTCCCTGGGTGGGAGGCCGCTGGGCTTGGCCAAGATGGCATCTGCGTGCAAGGCTGTTTGTAACTCCTGCGGTCGGAAAGGGTTTCTCTCTGGGCTGGTAGCCACAGCTTATACTTGGGTAATATGTATATTTCAAATGAGCCTTAAAAGAACTCAGCTGTTTGGGGGTAGGTAAGGCCGAGTTCTGGGGAGGACAGTCGTGGCTCTCCTTTTTGCCAAGGCCTTGTCAGTGGCACACCACGTGGTACCGGGCGCCTGTGGGAAAAAATCCTGCTCTGCCCTTAGGAGCCATTTCTGAGCTGGGGCCACAGCTCCCCTCGCTGCAGTGGAGAAGGATGAGAGCTGAGCCCCCCACTGCCCCTGACAGTACCCAGGAGATGTGGCCTCTTGGGCAAGGGCCAGAGAGTTAGGGCCTCATCCTATGAGCCTGGGCCTGTTGAGACCCTTGGTCTGCCCCCATACAGTTGAGGCAGCTCAGAGCATGTGGTCACTGTGGTAATTTGGCAAAGGATGAAGGTTTGTTTCGAGTCTCTGCTGACACTCAGCCTGGGTGGCTGTGGGCAAGGGCGCTGGGAGGCTGAGCCCTGGTGGCCACTAGAGAAGGGACCAGCAAGTCCCACCCATGGAGAGAAGGCAAGGCTACTCTCTGCAGAGAGCACCCAGCCAGTCCCCTCATCTACGGTCAGAAAGATGGAAGATTTTATTCTGGGAAGAAGTTGCCAAAATACTCATCTGTGACATGGAGGTGGGGCTGGGGCTGTGCGAACCAGTGGCCCCCGAAGTGGCTTGGAGAGGTGAGTCACTGGGGTTCGGCGGAGCTTGGCCTCATTTGAACACAGTCCTTGGAAAAAGAAACAACCAGTCAGGCCAGGGGTGGTCTCAGGTGAGTAGCTGGTGAGGGGAATGGGGACCAGTAGGAATGGTCAGGCATGCTGAGTCCCCAGGCACTGATGGCCTCCCAGGCCAGGAGCTCCCCCTCCACACCACTTCCTGGCAGAGCCTGGAGCCCAGCCCTTGGTCCTCCCCAGGACCCTCCCCTCTCCAGCTCACTGCTGGACAGTTCTCCCCGCCAGCCCCCAGGTCCAAGATTCTAGTGAACACTGGGGTGGGGCTGAGATCTCGCCCCAAACCTGTATAGAGTTGTTTTCATCACTAAAATGGAACAGAGCAGTCAGCAGTAGCAACAGGAAGGAGGAAAAACAGCAGAGGCGTGAAAAAGGCAAGGGAGAGCAAGACAGGAGAGGGGAAGGGAGGGGCGGGAACCTCCAAAAGGAGCAGGCCAGGTGGAGCCCGGGGCAGGGGGCAGGGGGTGATCCCTGGCTCTGTGTTCTGAGGCTGGTCTCTAAATTGCCAGTGAGAGCTTGTGACCTCCTGGTTTGCTTTTCCCACCAGATGCATGGTCTGTGAGCAAGGGAAGCTGCTAGACTCAAAACAGGCCTGTGGTGCTCGGCCCGGAAGGGATGGTGCAATCCTGGAATACCCTAGGAGCGTTGCACCCATTTCCTCGTGGATCAGCTAAGAAGTAAACAGAAACAATCCAATTCATGACAGCAGTTACCAACATGAAAGAAAAAGATGCACACGGTCAAATTTGGTTCCCATGGGAAACTGGACTTAGTAAAAATAATGGCCCCCAAGCAAGGTGGGCAAAAGCAGGAGCTGTTGTGGGAACTGCTTCTGATGGCATCCTTCAGAAGAATAAAAAGGCAAGGGATCAGGGGCCGGGGTTGTGGCTCAGTGGCAGAGCACTTGCTAGCATGTGTGAAGCACTGGGTTCGATCCTTGGCACCACATAAAAATAGAAATAAATTTTTAAAAAAAGGCTTTATTAAAAAAAAAAAAAGAAGAAGAAGAAAGAAAATAATTTTTTAAAAAGGAAAGGGATTATTTTAAAACCATTTTAACTGTTGTATTCAAAATTGGTCAGGGAATTCAAGTGGCTTAGTGGCAAATTCACTTGAAAGCCACGTTTTTTGTGAAGCGATAAGAAGGCTGTGTTGGAGAAGAAGTTTGGGTTGTTTGTATTTATATGTAGAGTTAAAATAGTTACTTAATCAACATGGGGGGTCCCCTGTGCAGACCTGTTTGGTTTGCCCAGGGGACGTTTCCTGGACCAGCTCCAGGGCCCCGGGTCTCACCCCGGGGGAGTAGATGGGACCTGAGACTTGTGGGGACACAGGAAGGGTAGGGGCTCACGGGTTGACAGGCTCCTCCATAGGCTGCTTGCTGGTTCGGGACTCAGGGCGCAGAGACCTCAAGTGTCTGGTAGGCTCTGGGGCCTGCTGGGGGTTCCGCAGAGGGGGGAACAGCGGCGGCAGCAGTGGCAGAGGTGGCARGGATGGCGGTTGAGCCAGCGTCACGGAGGGAGAGCCAGGGGTGGCTGAGCAGGCTCCAGGGCGGGGACCCAAGGCTGCAGGGAGCAGGATAAAACCCAAGAAATTCCTGGGAGCAACTGGCCTGATGGGGTCCACCCCACTGGAGGGAAGAACAGCCGAATCTGGAGGTGCTCTGTGGGCCATGTCAGGGCTGGTTACTGTGGCCTCCCCTGGCCCTGGGCACCTAAACTTCCCAGGTGAAGTGACAAAAGATACAGGACTCTGGAAATGGGCACTAGAGTAGGGCAGAGCACCCAGGAGGACACGGAGCTTGGTGTCTGGGGGTTGGGCTCAGGTCGCTGAGGTTCAGCTCCCTCCTCTTGAAATGGACTAATAGAGCAGGACGTGGCCGTGAGCTGTACTGGGACTGCAGTGTGTGCCACTGTCGGATCTTTCCATGTCCCTGCTCAGCAGCCAGGCACTGTGTTGCATGGCCATGCTTCCAGCAACATGGGAGGCTGAGGCAGGAGGATCACAAGTTTGAAGCCAGCTTGGGCAATTTAGTAAGACCCAGTACCCAAAAAATAAAGACCACCAGGACCACCCCCCTGAGCTGGGTAAGAACTAGATGAGACAAGAAGGGAGAAAGAGCTTCATAAGCTGTCAATGCCCCTCGGCTGCTGATACACAGTGACACCAGTCAGGGGAGCACAGGGCTCAGCTCCTCCCAACCTGGCTCCTGGGCTGCAGTCCAACAGGCCCAGGGCAGTAAGTGGGCTCCTGTGTCCCACTCCTGCAGCCAGTGGACGCCTGGGGATGGACACCTGGCCTAGGCTTCTGTGATGATGCCCAGGGCCTACAAGCTCCCCTGAGGATGGAGCAGGAGCCCAGGATAGCTGCAGGCACATTTCCCTGGCCAGGGAGCAAAGTGCTGGGTGGGGGCTGCTACAGGGGTCTTCCTGGGGCCCAGGTGTGGGTGAGCAGGCTGCCTGAATCTTGACAGAGCAGGTGAGAGATGGATGAGGTGGGACAGAGCAAGCCTTGGGCTGGGGGTGAGGGTAACGGGCAGTGAGTGGAGGGACCCGAGACCTGGCAGAACCCCAGGTGGGATGGGAGGGTTGGGGGAGGTACTCACGGGGGCAGTTGGTACCAAATAAGTCACTGGAGCGCACAGGAGCATACAGGTTTCTAGCTGGGGGACAAGGAACCTTGACAGCTGAGAAGAAAGGACCAGAACAGGTAGGCGTCTTCCAGAGCTCTGGCCTCGCATCAGGCTCAACCTAACCCAGCCCTGCCTCCCCGGCTCCTCCAACCCTCCTGTCCCCATGGGTGAATGTCCTTCCCTCTCTGCTTAAGTCCAGATCCTCCCAAGGCTAAGACCAGGACAGCAGACATCCCAAAGGCTTCTCCAAGCCAGGGGACATGACAATTAGTAAAAGCAATTGGCCTGGTGCAGACAAGGACTGCATGAGGTAGGCGTCTGGCGTCTGGCAGTTCTGTTTTACACACATGCATGATAAATGTGTGCACATGCTTTTTTTTTTTTTTTTTTTTTTTTTTTAAGGCACAGTCTTGCTAGGTCTCCAAGGCTGGTCTTCAATCCCTGAGCTCAAGAGATCCTCCTGCCTCAGCCTCTCAAGTAACTGGGACTATAGATGTGTGCCACTGTCAGTTCTTTAGGTATTCCTGCTGGGCAGCCATGCACTAGAGTGCATGGCTATAATTAGAGCAACTTGGGAGGCTAAGGCCGGAGGATCCCAAGTTCGAGAACAGTCTCAGCAACTTAGGAAAACTCTCAAAATAAAATAAAAAGAGCTGGGATGTAGCTCCATGGTGGAGAATTTGTCTAGCATGCCCGAGGCCCTGGATTCAACCCCAGTACAGTAACAACTAAAAATTTCCTGCTGGGGACAGACCCATAAAGTCCCCACCCCCATCTTGCCCCCCAACTTTTTTTCTTTTTAGGTAATTTCACACAACATAAAAATATCCCTTTAAAGCACCCAGTGTGGTGGCATGGAGTACACTCACAGAGCTGCGCGGTGCCACCGCTATCTAGTTCCAAGACACTTTCATCACCCCAAAAGCATCCTGCACGCCATTAAGCAGTCACTCCCCACTGCCACACCAGCTCCTGGCAACCACGGTTTTCATTTTCTCCATGAATTTGCTTCTTCCAGACATTTCATGAAAATGGAGCCGTAAAACACGTGCCTGCTCCTGTCCAGCCACGAATCACTGTGACTGTGACTGGCCACCATCCTAATCCCTTCTGTGGAAAGGGGACTGTATTGCGCAGGAGTTTGAGGTGGGGAAATTATCCCAGGTTGTCCAGGTGGGCCCTGAGTGCAATCATGGGCCCAGGGCGACGGAGTTGGAGGTATGATAGCAGGCGCGGAGGCCAGTGTGGTGTGCTCTGAGGACAGAGAAGGTGGGGCCTCTACCTGGGAAAGGTGAGGGGTGGTTTCGCCCCTGGAGCCTCCAGATCTCGGACTTCCAACCTCCAGAACTAAGACAATGAATCTGCGACGGCACCCACAGAGGAGCCCGAGCCCACACGCTTTAGGAGAGTCAACTGGCCGTGACGAGGCTTCAGCTGGCRGGGGGCGTCTCCCACAGAACACTCCTCCTGTCTCTGTAGCCCTGATCCTTCCACCTGGAGCCCCTTCTGACCACCTCCTGCTGCCTTCCTTCTGCACTCAGTCTGCTTCTGTGGACACTCTCTGAAGGCCCCACCTGTGGAGCAGGCCTTGCACACCTGTCTACCAACTGTGGGGCGCGCCCTGAGGATCGGATGTCCCTCTGCAAAGGCCTAGACTGAGGACTGCAGCATCACAATCAGAAAGGCCATGGGCTGGCCTTTGGAGGCCTGGGGGGCGGGGCAGATGAAGGGATGGCTGCGTAGTGGGTCCTGATGGTGGATGGGTGAAGTCTTCCGGAGCTGGGTGGCTCAGCGTGGCTAGTTTTAGGTTGGAATATGGTGTCTGTTTTGGATGACAACGTTCTTCTGTGTGAGCACATGAGTGGATCTACGTGCTGCCACAGACAGGCTTCTAGTGGACTCTCACACTAGTTTGGCTTCATCACCCAAGTGAGGCGAAATGTTGGAGCCATCCAAGTTCAAATTCTGTGTGCATTGTGGGCCTTGGGAATGAACCATCAACCAGGGAGAAGCCCCTCAGCTGCCTCTTCAGGGGTGACAGCCTTGGGGAAGGTAGATGGGGTTGAGGACAGGACCACAGATTCCATCTGTCCCAGCCCCTCCACTGAGGCTGCCCTCCCAGCAAGTGGACCTCCCCTGTGTGTAGATGAGATGCCTCACCAGGTTGCTGCAGGCAGGGGGAGGTGGGGAGGGCCCAGCTTATTAGCCACTTACGAAACCCTCAAGTCACCCTGCTTGGTGACCCCTGAAGCCCAGCCCAGCCCCTCCCATCAGAGCTGCAGTGCCTGGAGCAGCCACATCCTGCCTGGGGAGAGGACAAGGGAGGTGGTGACCTGCCTTCCTGGAAACAGGGTGTGGCCTGGAATGGTTGCCTGGTGGTCCCCAATAAGTATGTCCCCTGGAACCCAGGTACATAAGCGTATTGGAGACAGGATCTCTGCAGGCTTAATGAAGGATCCTGCAGTGAGATCATTCTGGGTTACATGGAGCCCTAAATCCAAAGGCAAGTGTCCTAAGGAAGAAGAGGAGAGCCATGGAGGACGCAAAGAAGAGGCCGACGCTGGAGTGAGGCAGCCATTCCCAAGAGACTGCAGAGCCCTGCACCGGTGCCTCTGGAGGAGCAGAGCCCGCTCCCACTGGACTTAGGGCTTGTGGCCTCCAGGACTGCGAGAATAAATGTCCACTCCTTTGAGGCACCCAGCGCTGGGAGCTGCCGCTTCCCTTCCTGGGTCTGGGGTTGAGCTCTCTACTCCACAGGGCAGTCTGGGAGGAGGAGCGTCCATGGGTAGAGTATGGACTCAACCCTGGCCGGCCCATGGGCTGTGTGTGGCTTCTACCAAGGAGCAAATTCAGAACTCTCTTCCCAGAGGGAAAATGCCCCAAAGGGGTGTGCAGAGAATGCTCCCCTCAGTATTTGAGCCGAGGTGGCCCAGGTGGGAGAGGCTGGAACTGCAGCTCTCATGCTGCAAGGGCCACAGCAACCAGGGGCAAGTGCCCGTGGGTCTGGGGCTCCTCCTGGTCTGACCCCTGCCTTTGAGATTAGGACACAGGCCTCCAGGGACTGGACCTGCTCATTCCACTACCCCACCTTTGTCTCTGCACTACAGTCTGGACCACCCTTCCCAGTTCCTGCCTGTGCTTGGCTTCTGACCACCAAATGGCTACTGAACCTGATATTCCCTCCACCTGGACTGCTCTCCTCCCTCCCCACTCCCTCACCAAGTAATGCTTTTTTCCCCTTCAGAGGTGTCAGGGCAGCTGCCCAATCCTTCGCCATCAACCAGGGTCCCTTAGCACAACTCTTCCATCACCAGTGTCTCCCTTCAGGTCAGTTTTATCTGTTTGTAACCATGGATTCTTGCCTTCCAGATATTTACTGTGGTCTGTCCCCTGCATGAGTCACCTGCAGGCAATAGCCCATCTCTTGCTCTCCACTGTTTCCCAGCATACACTGGGGACCCCATTTTTGCAAGTGACTATTATGCTTCCCAGCTAGGGATGGCAGCAGCCCTGAGCCCCACCGCCTCCCCTCAGCTACCTGGCACAGGGAGACCTGGGCAGGGGTATGCGGAGGGAGGACCTGACACCTCTCACCTGCCAACTCCTTCTCTGCCGTGGTCAAGGGTTGGGCCCCAAACTGAGTGTTCATTCGGCCTTTGTACAGAATCCCGTCCACTCCCAGGATGTCCACCTCGGCCTGTGGGAGGGTCTGCGTCACTGCTCAAGGCCTCCACCTTGCTACCCTCCCGATGCATGCAGAGGTCCTGAAGTCAGAGCACAGCCTCCCAGAGATGCCCGTGGCCTGGTGTCCAGCCCACACCTGGGCCTGGGACACCCTGACGGCCAGACTCACAGTGTCGTAGTTTAACACTTGGGGGTCCCCATAGGGGTAGAGTGTTGACAGCTCCCCTGGCTTGAACTTGAGGGTGGTGTCATTTTGGAGGCTGTCGCCCCAGTCCTGCTGAGCGCCCAGAGTGTGCAGGCCGTCCTCTTGCAGCTGCATCCGCTGGTGTTCCCTGTGCAGGGCAGGGAGTCATCAGCCCCTGGAGACCCTCTGCTCCTGGGCCTGGGCCTGGCCCGTGTCAAGGGTGTGATGGCACAGCAGGCAGGCCTGGGGCCTGGCGGGCAGTGCAGACACGCACAGCTGGGAGGGGATAAACCAGCTCCCACATCCCCTGGGCCAAGCGCTCCTGGAGCCTGGCCCGGTTTGACAAGGCACATACTCTTGATCTGCAGCTTCACAAGTCAGGCACAGGAGGCCAGGGAACCAGATCAGGCCCTCAAGTCCCTCCGCCAGGTGTCATTCCCACAGGGCTGGGTGCCCCTAGGGCCTCCAGAGCCTAGGATGTCCAGGGGTGGGGGGAGGTGAGGCCAGGGGGCCAGCCGGTCTGTGTCAGCTCTGACACTTACTAGCCAACACCTTGGCAGTCACATAAGCTCTCTGTGCCGGTTTCCCCAACTGTGAAATGGGATGACCAGGGAGTACACCTCAGAGGCAGGGTGGGAGGGCTCCACAGGCCAGGTGGGCCACAGGGGGCTCCTGGAGGGTCCTGATCACTGCTCTCCACCAGGAACAGGCATGTCCACCCGGCTGGCCAGGGGTTGTGAGATTTAAGGAGATACCCGCCCTCCGCCGCCACTTAGAAGCACCTAACAGTCCTGATAGAACAACATTGGCTCCTGTCCTCTGCTCAGGCCACCTCCAATCACAGAGGGTTAGCAACACCCTGAGTGTCGGCCTTTGGTCCTGGCGCTGGCGGATATGTCTTGGCAGGAGTAGGGTGGCAGACCTGCCCAGGGCCGCCCTGCAGCCTCACCTCATCATTTGGCGCTGTAGGTATTCGTAGCTGTTGGCACTGGCCGGCCGCAGCTTTGACAGCAGGCGGGCTTTGCGTATGGTGATGAGCTGCCTGTGGAGGACAAAAGTGTGCTGGTGGCTGCAGGCTCCCACCTCCTCCAGGAAAAGGAAGGAGGTGCAGTCCTGGACACGCCCACCCTCAGGGCCACGGTGCATGGGCTCTGAGGAACCCTGACAATCAGAAGACACAAACACATGAACAACAATCATGCTGGTCCTGGTACTGGAGAGGGCCTGGGCTCCACCCCTGTTCTGGTCACTAAAGTAAAAGCCAGACGAGGTAAATCCTCAGGCTGCAGATAGAGGCTTCCGGCGGCTGGGCAGGGATGGGAAGGAGACACAGTTCCATGGTGCAGGGTGGGGACTGCACAGCCTTGAAACACACCACATGCCATTTGACCCTTCCCTCACCGTGGTGAGATCTATGCCCCGGGTGTTGCCTCAATAAGGAAATAAAAATAAAGAAGACCACGGCAGCCTTCTTGGGCAGCTCCGCGGAGCAGACATGTGCAGAGGAGACCGGACAGCACAATAAACACCATGCCCTTCACTGTGGGCATGTTGAGTCACCACAAGACTTTTCAGTAACACACTGATTGTTGACGTTTCATAAATTATAGAAATGCAAAAGGAAGCACAGCTTTCTTCCATGTCTATGTAATTTTAAAGTTAGGATAACAACACATACTGCTTGGTATTCTCATAGAATTTATTGCCAACATTTTTCAGGTTATTAAATAATATTCCACAGCTGTGTTATCCAATACACTAGTCACTGGCCACGTGTGGTCATTTTAATGTGCATGTAAATTAATTTAAAAAAAAATTTTTAGGGGCTGGGGATGTGGCTCAAGCGGTAGCGCGCTCGCCTGGCGTGCGTGAGGCCCGGGTTCGATCCTCAGCACCACATACCAACAAAGATGTTGTGTCCGACGAGAACTAAAAAATAAATAAATATTAAAAACTCTCTCTCTCTCCTCTCTCACTCTCTCTTAAAAAATAAAAAAAAATTTTAGTGTCGATGGACCTTTATTTATTTATTTATTTATATGCGGTGCTGAGAATTGAACCCAGTGCCTCACACCTGTGAGGCAAGCACTCTGCCACTGAGCCACAACCCCAGCCCCTAATTAAGTTTTAATAAAATGTAAAAATCATTTTCTCATTAGCCACAGTGCCAGTGCTCAACAGCCACATGTGTCCCGTGGCTCCTGGACTGGACGGTACGGCTACCCACCATTTCCACAGTGCACAGCGCTGCACCAGACCGCGTCCCTGTACAAGGTCGTGGCTTGTGCAGGCTGACACACGTGCCTGTTTATGTGCATGGCGCTGGTCTCCAGCGTTTTTACTACTATAAATAATTCTGCAGCTAGATATCTGTGATTCGAAAGGGAAATCTTGTTGAGGCTCCACAGCTCCTCCATGAAAGAGGAGGTGGCACGGGGGTGGCAAACTCCATGGGTCCCAGGACTGGACCAGCACTGCAGGGCCCTGTCAGGTCCTGATGTCAGGACAGACTGTTGCCCGAAAGCTCCTCAAAAAGTCAACCACAGAGTAACCTTAGAGCCAGCACTTCCACTCCAAAGAACTTACACCCCAAAGAACTGAAGACAGGTGTTCCAGCAAATACACATGTACAGATGTTCACAGCAGCACTAGTCACATAGCTAAGAGGTACAACAACTGGATGTCCATCAGGAGACAAAGGGGTAAGCAAAATGTGCTCTCTCCACACAACAGCATCTTATTCAATGATAAAAAGGAGTGAAGCGCTGGCTCATGCTGAACCTAGAGGAACTTTACACACACTCTGCTAAGTGGAAGAAGCCAGCCTCCAAGGCCATGTGTGGTCTGATTCCATTTATAGGAAACATCCAGAAAAGGCAACCCCATAGAGATAGAAAGTGGATTAGTGTGGGGGCTGGGGTTGTGGCTCAGGGGCAGAGCACTCGCCTAACACTGCATAAAAATAAAGAAAGAAAGATATTGTGTCCAATTACAAAAATTAATATTATTTAAATAATTAATATTTAAAAAAGAAAGAAAGTGGATTAGTGGCTGCCAGGGGCTGGAGGGGAGGTGCAGTGGGAAGTGACTGCTAGTGTGCCAGTGGGCCTGGGGGACTAAACAGGGCCCTGGGATTGGAGGCAAGAGTTGCACTACACCGTGACTACACCAAATGCCACTGAACTCTTTGCTTTATTTATTTTTAGAGACAGGGTCTCATTAAGTTGTTGAGGCTGGCCTCAAACTTGCAATTCTCCTGTCTCAGCCTCCCAAGTCTCTGGGATTACAGGCATGTGCCACTGCGCCCAACCAATTAATTTATTAATTAATAAATAATTAATAAAAATTAATTATTTATATTTAATTAATTTTTGCAGTGCTGGGGATTGAACCCAGGACCTCCCACATGCTCTAGCACTGAGCTACATCCTCACACCTTTTATTTAGAGCCAGGGGCTTGCTGAGTTGCCTAGGCTGGCAGCTTCTGCTGTCTTGGCCTTCCAAGTAGTTGGGATTACAGGAATGTGCCACCAAGGGACCACTATTCATTTTAAAATGGTTCATTTTAGGACTGGGGTAGTGCTTGGGGGTGAAGTGCTTGACTAGCATGCATGAGGTCCTGAGTTAGAGTCCCAGCACAGCAAAATAAATAAATAAATAATAAAATAATTAATTTCATATTATGCAAGTATTGGACCAGCAAGTAGAACAAAGTTGTGCTCTCGCTGACAATGATTCCTTCCGTTCTTTTTTATTTTTTCTTTCTTTTTTGGGGGGAGTGGGGTGGAGCACTGAGTCAGACCCTAGATAGAGTTGGCCAAAGAACAAGGTGAGAAGCAGTGCCCGCCATCACCAGAGAGAGGAGGAGGGGGCCGAGGATACACTCTGTTGGTAGAGAACTTGCCTCACCTCGCATGCACAAGGCCCTGGGTTCAATCCCCAGCACTACCAAGTCTAGAGAGGATGCGTGCGGCTGGAGCTCCGCAGATCCTGTCTGAGCGCGGTGCACACGGCTATGTATACAGTGGAGGCCTTTAGGGAGCACAGGGGTGCGTTTTACTTGATCTCTGCAGCACGGTGCCTGGGGCGGGCACACATGGCCTTTACCGTCCCTGGCGCGGTACTCACGGGCCGGTCATCATCTCCACTGGCCGGTCGCAGGAAATGCACTTCACCCGCTCAAACAGTTTCCTGAAAGGTAAGTGGTCGGGCATCAGGGGTGGCCAGGTCTGAGACTGAACGTGCTGTGCCTCCCGCCGGTCCAACCCTCCTCCGCTGCGAGCTGAGGGCTGCAGTCCCCTCTGTCACTGGGGCCCTCTGTGGGACTGTCTGGGTGGACGGTCAGGGTGCCTGGCCCAGGCCCCAGATCTGCCCCGGCCTCCCGTGGTGCACATAGTCCCTTCCCTCTCTGAGCCTCAGTATCCTCGTTTGCAGCCAGAGGCAGCAGAGCTGCCCACTGGGGTCCCAGCCCCGACCCTGTGCCCATGGTCTGGAATCCAGGGGTGCCCGAGGCTGGCAGCCGCAGCCCTCCCGCCGCTCGCCTCCTGAAGCCCGCGGCGCTGTCGGGGTCGTAGAGCAGGCCCTCCAGCAGCAGCTTCTTGACCACTTCCCAGACCTCCTCCAGGCCCTTCTTCAGAAGGTCCAGGTCACTGTGCACCAGCTGCCAGCCCAGGGGAGAAAAGACAGATGTCAATCAGCCACACCCAGCTCCCTGGGAAAGGGATCTGCGGCAACCTGCAAACCTCCATAATGAGAATGAGAAGAAGGGGAAGACGATTCGGCTTGGGCTAAAGCCCACAGCCCTCACGGGTGCCATTGGTAGAGGGGAGCTGCAAAGTGAGCTTCCCAGAGGCCAAGGCAAAAACACCACCAGCTACCACCTCCAAACCTACTGCCTAACTGCCCATCCTCCCCATGGTCCACATGCATCTGACCTTCACATAGTCCTCACATATTTATTAAGGGTCTGACTGTGAAGTGGCTAATTCAGCCACTTTTAGTATACTCACAAAGGACCATCACCATCAGTTTTTGAATGTTTGCATCATTCCCCAAAGAAGCCCACTATTTCCTCCAAAGCCCAGGCCCTGGCAACCACTAACCTACTTTCTGCATTTATTGGATTTGCCCATTCTGGACACCTCACAAAAATATCATACAATAGTTGGCCTTTGGCGACTGGCCTCTTTCCTTTGGCAAACTATTTCAAGATTCACCCATGTTGCAGCGTGCATTAGAATTTCATTCCTTTTTTGATGGGTGAATAATATTCTACTGTACTACATTCATGCTACATGATATGAAGCATGGAATAGCATGATCAAATCTCATTTCATCATATGGATATACTTTTAAAAATTTTTTTTGTTGTAGTTAGACATTTATTTATTTATTTTTATGTGGTACTGAGGATCAAACCCAGTGCCTCGCACATGCTACACAAGTGCTCTACCACTGAGCCACAACCCCAGCCCCTGGATATACTTTAAAAATTTTTTTTAGTTGTAGATATACATAATGCTTTATTTTTATTTTTATTTATTTTTATGTGGTACTGAGGATCAAACCCAGTGCCTCGCACATGCTACACAAGTGCTCTACCACTGAGCCACAACCCCAGCCCCTGGATATACTTTAAAAATTTTTTTTAGTTGTAGATATACATAATGCTTTATTTTTATTTTTATTTATTTTTATGTGGTGCTGAGGATTGAACCCAGTGCTTTACATGTACCAGGCAAGTGTTCTACCACTGAGCTACAACCCAGAGGTGCTTAACCACTAAGCCACATCCCAAGCCCTTTTTATTTTTATTTTTTAAAACAAGGTCTCACCGAGTTGCTGAGGCTGGCCTGGAAGTTTCGATCCTCCTGCCTCAGCCTCCCAAGTCTCTGGGATTACAGGCGTGCACCACATGTCCAGCACTGGATATACTACATTTTGTTAATTAATTCCTCTATTGATAGACATTGGGTGTTTTCCACCTTTTGGCTATTATAATTAATGCTCCTATGAAGATTCACATGTAAACTTTCGTGTGGACATACTTTCATTTTTCTTGGGATGAAGTTCTGACCCATGCTATGACATGAATGCGCTTCAAAGACATGGTGCTAAACTAAAGAATTCAGACTCAAGAGTGCGCATACTGTGTGGTTCCCTTCACGACAAACATCCAGAACAGGTGTGTGCACGCGGGGGCCAGGGCGGGGAAGAAGGGAGTGACTGCTGAAGACGCTGGGTCTCCTTTTGGAAAGAAGCGAATGTCTTAGAACCAGACTGAGGTGAGGGCAGCGCACTGTGAGCGTGAATGCCATTGCCTGGATCCCTGCAGAATGGTTGATTTTATGTTCTGTGACTTTCACCACAATTAAAAATACAGAAAGGAGCCGGGCACAGTGGCACACGCCTGTCATCCCAGCTATTCAGAGGCGGAGGCAGAAGGATTCCAAGGTTGGGGCCAGCCTGGGTAACTTAGCAAGATCCTGCCTGAAATTAAAAAAAAAAATAATAATAAAATAAAAAGGGTTGGGCCCAGCAGTTCAGGAGGCTGAGGCAGGAGGAACACAAGTTCAAAGCCAGCCTCATCAGCTTAGCAAGACCCTAAGCAAGGGCTGGGGATGTGGCTCAGTCGGTAGCGCGCTCTCCTGGCATGCGTGCGGCCCGGGTTCGATCCTCAGCACCACATACCAACGAAGATGTTGTGTCCGCCAAGAACTAAAAAATAAATATTAAAAATTCTCTCTCTCTCTCTGTCTGTCTTAAAAAAAAAAAGACCCTCCCTAAGCAACTTAGTGAAACCCTCTCTTAAAAAATAAAAGGGGGGCTGGCGTTGTGGCTCAGGGGTAGAGTGCTTACGTAACATGCATGGGCCCTGGGTTTGATCCTCAGCACCACATAAAAAATAAGTAAATAAAAAGTTAAAAAATGAAATAAAAGGGCTAGGGATGTGGCTCAGTGGTAGAGCACTCTGGGGTTCAGTCCCTGGTGCCCCCTGGAAATAATACAGAAATGAAAGCAATGAGTATGGAGTCACTTAAAACAGCAACCACACAAAAAGCTCCTCATCTGGAAAATCTCAGAGAAAAGCAGAAAGGTTAGAATAATTAATTACCCACCACATATCCATCACCTAGATTTAGTAGTTATTAACATGTTGCTAGATTTGCCTTATTCTTATTTGTTCCTGGGGATTGAACCCAGGGACACTAACACTGAGCTAAATCCCCAGCCCTTTCATTTTGTATTTTTAAAATAACTAGTTTGTTTGTTTGTTTGCTTATAGTTAAAGATGAACAGCATGCCTTTATTTTATTTTTATGCAGTGCTAAGGATTGAACCTAGGGCTTCATACATGCTAGGCAAATGCTCTGCCATTGAGCTACAGCCTGAACCCCATTATTTTGTATTTTTGAAACAGGGTCGCTAACACTAAGTGGCTGAGGCTGGCCTCTGCCTTGTGATCTTCCTGCCTCAGCCTCCTGGAGGCCTAGGATTACAGACATATGCCACTGTGCCCAGCTCGCCTTATTTTTTTTGATACATTATTTATTTAGTTAGTTTTTTGGGGGGTACCAGGGATTGAACTGAAGGGTTCTGAACCACCGAGCCACATCCCCAGCCCTATTTTGTATTTTATTTAGAGACAGGGTCTCACTGAATTGCTTTAGTGCCTCACTGTTGCTGAGGCTGGTTTTAAACTCGCAATCCTCCTACCTCAGCCTCCCAAGCTGCTAGGATTACAGGCATGCACCACCATGCCTGGTTTATCATTATTATTATTATTTTTTGAGTTATAGAAATCATGACTYTTCACTCATGAATATCTGAGTATTTCTAAAAGATGGGGATGCTTTCATTCATAATCATAATTCCATGATCACATCTAATATAATTAGTGAGAATTCCCGACTTGGGTCACATTTGAAGACCAGGTTTGGAACTGGCTCAATTGGACCAGGAGAAAAGTAACACTGTTCCCTGTGTTGCGTCTGATCATCTGGGCTGCTGTGATCTTTTTTTTTTTTTTTTTTTTTTAAAGAGAGAGTGAGAGAGAGAGGGGGACAGAGAGAGAGAGAGAGAGAATTTTTAATATTTATTTTTTAGTTCTCGGCGAACACAACATCTTCGTTGGTATGTGGTGCTGAGGATGGAACCCGGGCCTCACGCACGCTAGGCGAGCGCGCTACTGCTTGAGCCACATCCCCAGCCCCCTGCTGTGATCTTAACCTAGGACAATCTCTGTTCTGTACCCTCTTCCTAACCCCTGGCATTGAGCCCGCAGCCTCACACTGTCAGTCTGTCACACTGTCATTCTGTCTGTTCTGGCCTCTCTCTGTGTGTGCACAAGGGGCAGCAGGGCTGTGATTCCTCATGGACATTCTCTGGGTCTGGCACCTCAGATGAATCAATCAAGGACCAGCATGGTTCCCCCAGACCCCCTCAGACCCTGCCTTTGTCGGGGTCCTGCCAGGAGAACAATGGTGGTCAGCCTGCAAGACGCTGCCCAGCTGTACCACGTGGAATTCACACCACCAAGTAGTCCCCTCTCGTTGAACAGGGACGACTTAGGTAACCAACAGGATATCACGGAAGGGAGGGAGGGTGCTTCCGGGGTGCAGTCACACAAGACTGTGCAGATTCTTGCTTGTCTCCTTGGGTCACTTGTTTGGGAGGATGTCGGGAGCCATGTTATGAGGCCACTCAAGTGGCTCTGAGGAGGAGATCTTGTGATAAAGAACTGAAGATTCTTTTTAAAATTAATTAACTAATTTCTGGTCCTGGAGATTGAACCCAGGGGTACTCTACCTCTCTACACTCCCAGCTCTTTTTATTTTTTTTGAGACTCAATAAATTACCTAAATAAGTTTGAGGCTGGCCTCAAACTTGTGATCCTCCTGCCTTAGCCTCTTGAGTAGCTGGGATTACAGGCCTGGACCACTGTGCCTGGCAGTAAGATTCTTGCCAACAGCCATGTGAGAGTGCCGTCTTTGAAATGGCTCCTCTCAGCTCCTTCAGATGCAGCCCTGGACAACACCTTACCTGTGACATTGTGGGAGATCCTGGGCCACCCGGCTAAGCTGCTCCCCAATTCCTGCTCCTCACAGCTGTGAGCCTTTGCTGTGGAAGCCGTAAAGTCCTGGAGTAATGCGCCCCGCAGCGGGGGACAGCGAGGCCAGRTGCTCACCTTGGTGCTCAGTTCCTTCTTGAGCTGCTCCACGGCGTTCTTCCAGTGGTCATTCTGGGTCGTGAGCTTGAACAAGATGCTCTGAAACGTCTCATGCAGCTCGGTCACCACCGTCTCCAGGTCTGCGCGGTTGGCCTTGCCTGCCAGGGCGCTCTTGTCAGCTTTCTAGGGAGAGAGGGGGCGCAGGGGGCAGGGCTACTGGGGGAAAGGGGCTGGGAGACCTCAGCCCTCTGGAGCCTGGACGTCCAGCCCTTGGGATCTATGTGGGGACCCTCCTCGGGATCTATGAGGCCAGCCAAGGTTTCCCTGCGGAAGGGAAGTTGGTGCCTGGTTTCTAAGTTTACATGACAGTGTCCCCGGGTGGTGAGGACGACTCGTGAGAAGCCTCCCCGCCTGCCCGTAGGAACCCAGGCAGAGGATTCTGGAAGGTTCTTCCTGGGTGGCTCCTCTTCCCTGGTGGGGAGCCGGGGCTTGGGAGGGGACCCTCTGGCCACTCACTTCTCGAAGCTCCTCCTCCAGCGAGCTCTTATTCGCCTTGGTCTGCTCCAGGTTTCTGATTTGAGCCTGGAGATTCTAAGCACAGAAGCGCAGGCCGTCAGCCACCTTTGCAGCCTGAGGACGGACGTCCGCCTCGTGCCTCCACCCCTGCCACGCGCTAAGAGGGGACAACAGGGCGGGTGGACGGCAGGCAGGTGGGCACATGAGAAGGCGTGGCCTCCGGGCTCCCAGTGCCTGTGGGACTCAGAATGGCGGCCCCCTGGGAGGAGGCCCACCCAAGGGAGCACAACCCTCATCTGGTCTGCCACGGTGTCTCAGTGGGGATCCCCATCTATCTGTGGCACACACTGTGCCCAAGTGCTGGGGGAACCTGTCCTCACCCCGTGACACCACGAAGCAGCTACTCCCCCGTGAGAGGGACAAACTCAAGCTGGGGAGCAGCTCAAGCTGGGTTCCACCTTGGGAATGGCCTTCCCTGTCCCCAGAGGTGGGGTCGCTTTTCCTCAAAGCCGTGAAGGCTTCTTCTACTCTGTCCTTCGTATCTTGTCTGGCTCTCACCCTGAGGAGCAGAACTCCCAACTTTCAGGTGGGATTCAGCTTCTCAGAACYGAGACCACTTCTCACAGCCTTCTTTCCGGATCAGTCTGGCCACGGTGGTGGTGGGGGTAAATGGAAGTGGGTGGGTGTCTTTAACTCTCTGAATTCTGTGTCCTCTCTGTGGCTGGCTTGGGTGTTAATGACTGGAATGTCAGCAGCCATCTTGGGTCATAAGGTGACTTTTATGAATGGAAGTCACAGAGGAGAAGAAGAAAAATGGAACTTAGATCTCCAACACGGTGGAGCACCTGCCCTCCCTGGATGGACCATCTGGATTTCTTGAACACAAAAGAGAAGCACACTTAGACCTCGTTTGTTGAAGTCAAACTTGATTCTGATTAACGCACAGCTCCATCACATCCACCTGGCCCCCAGGAGGGCTTTGGAGGTCTAAGCAAGAAGAGGAAGTGTGGGCGGGAGCCCCAGCTTTGACCTCCAGCCCAGCTGTTTCCTCTGACCAATGCTGGTCTTTGGGGCTTATCAAGTCCAGTGCCAGGGCTTGGCTTCTTGGCTCGGGATGCATACTTAACTGCTGTAGTTAAAAATCTAGAAATAGGGGCTGGGGATGTGGCTCAAGCAGTAGCGCGCTCGCCTGGCATGCTTACGGCCCGGGTTCGATCCTCAGCACCACATAGAAACAAAGATGTTGTGTCCGCCGAGAACTAAAAAATAAATATTAAAATTCTCTCTCTCTCCCTCTCTCACTCTTTCTTTAAAAAAAATRTATAAAGCACTAATCTATTAAAAAAAAATCTAGAAATAGAGAGGTGATTAGGTGGGACTCTAACTGCCAGGGACACCTGTGACTTGGGTTGAATAACAGCTCCCCCAAAATTCATGACCTCCCCAAAACTTCAGATGTAGTTAGTGTAAGTTCATAGTGGAGTAGGATGAGCCCCAAATCCAATAAGGAAGACACCCAGAAGCACAGGAAGAGCCACGTGCCCAGAGAGACGTGGTCTCAGAGTGATGCCCTGACAGGCTGAGGAACTCCCGAAGCCGGGAGGGGCAAGGAGGGGTGTTCCCAGAGCCTTGGAAGAATGAGGCCTCATCAGGACCTTGATTTCGGATTTCCAGCTCCACCCTGGGAGGAAATAGATGTTTACTGTTTTCAGACGCCCAGTTTGTGGGGATTTGTCACAGCAGCAATAGGAAACTGATAAGCCCAGTCAGTGGCAGAATCAGGGCCCAACCCGAAGCTGCTCCAGAGGAGAGGGCTGCCTCCCGCTGGGTGAGCTGGGCTGTTCKCTGTCCTTTGCCTGCGTCTGCGTCTCTGATCCTCCTCCTCCTTTCCTTGTGCTCTCTTTCTTCTTCCAGGACTGGGGTTTGAACTCAGGGTGCTCCAGTACTGAGCCACATCTTCAGCCCTTTCTATTTGTTTATTTTGAGACAGGGTCTCACGAAGTCACCCACGTTGACCTCGAACCTGTGACCTCCTGCTTCAGCTTCCCAAGTCACTGGGACTACAGGCTGCGCCACCGCACCCGCCCACCCACCGCACAGGGGTTCTTCTCTAACGATGCTGGAGAAGGGCACCGAGTGCCGTCCGCTCCGTGGGGACACCTGGGGCTGGTGAGCGTCTCCCAACAGTCAGCTTCCTGTGGTCAGCAGGGCCCGGGAGCCGGGGCAGGGGCGAGGCTGAAGACTTTGGTCAAGTCTGCAGTGTGGCAGGAGGACTTGCAGTTTTCGAGTTGATGACTTTATTTATTTATTTATTTTTGGTACTGGGGATTGGACCCGTGGAGCTTCGTTCCCCGTCAGCGGGAAATATTTGAGACCAGGTCTTGAGAAGTTGCCCAGGTTGTCACCTCTCCTGCCTTGGCCTCCAGAGCTGCTGGGATTTCAGGGTGCGCCACCATGTCCGACTCAAGCTTTTATCGTCACAGGCTGTGTCGGTGACTGCCTACTGGTTGTCTAGTTTCATGGACGAGACTGGGTCAGCATGATCCTCCAAGAGCCCACACGACAGAAGGCAGCAGACTGGGCCCACGGCATTCAGTGAGAGGAGTCAGGGACAAGTCTCCGGCCTTCATTTTTGTCCAGGGAAATGTGCCCCCTGGGGCGGATGAGCGCAAAATGGACACAGCTCACCCCCATTCTGTGCCCAGAGGATGCCCAAAGCCCTCCTCGAGGCCTTGGGGGAATCCTGGGGGTTCTAGGGTCACCCGTGTCCTGGCTTCCACTTCTGCCTTTGTGGGTCCTCCTTCTCTCTGTCCTGACCCTGACCCACCCAGAGACGGACCCCTTCCCCACGACCCCTCACCCAAACCAAACACGAATTCAGGAGGTCGCAGGCAGCAGGCCCGGATGGAGGCCACCTGTTCCCTCTGAGCAAAAGCCGGAAAGTCGTTACTGGACGTTCCCACCCTGAAGTCTGCTGAGTCCACGGTGCTCCTCGGGATCCCGCGGCTTCTCTGCAGGTCTGGCTCCCTGTCTTCTCTGTCCTGCCTCCCGGGAGCGGGAAGAGTGCTCCCACCCTCACAGGAGATGGGCAGACCCCTCGCACGAGACGCCAGGYGCGATCCCCATGCCACAAAAGGCACAGACTTCAAGGCCAGCCTCAGCAACTTAATGAGAACTCATCCCAAAATAACAAAGAATAATGAAATAATATTCCATACCCACAAGAATTTCTGAAATTAAAAAAGATCGTCAATATTCAATGTTGAGGAGGATGTGCGCAATTGTGGGGAGTGAAAAGAGGCGTGCTACCTTGGAAATGGTTTGACAGGTCTTTTTCTCTCTTTTTTCTTTTTTTGATTGCAGCACTGAGGAGTGGACCTGTGGGTACTCTACCACTGAGCTACACCCCCAGCACTTTTTATTTTGAGACAGGGTCTCACTAAGTTGTGGAGGCTGGCCTTGAACTTGCTTGCAATCCTCTTGCCTCAGCCTCCCAAGTCACTGGGACCCCTGTGGTTTACAAGGGTCTTTCCCCCGTAAAGTCAACCTCTCCAGACACTCCAGTGGAGCACAGTCGCACACAAGCACACATGGTATGGTCCCATTTATGTGAAGTCCAAAAGCAGGCAAAACTAACTTAGGGCGATGGAAGACAGAACAGTGGCTACCTCTGGACCATGGGTGTTCCCCTGGGAAAGGGAACTTTCTAAGACCATGGAGATGTCTCCATTTTGACTGGACTGTGATCAGATAAGAATGACCTCAGCTCTCATAAAGATTTAGGCACGTAAATCACGCTGCAGTTGAAAACGAATCCTGCCACCACCCCAGGCACAAACAGGAGGGACAGGCCAGCGTCTGTGGTGTTGGCAGCTGTGTCCCAGCCCCTAGAGCATGCCCAGTGCACAGAGAACACTCAGTAACATTCGCTGAGCAAAGATAAATGACTAGGAGCGTTAGGTGGTAGTTAGTTAGGAGTTTAAGAAAGTAGCATGGAGCATACCAGTTATGACCAGCCCTGCCTCAGTGGGGCCTCAAGGTCGCACAAAGCAGCTGTGTCAAGACCCCTGCCTGATCTCAGCCAGATAATCAGCTCCTCCAACAACAGGTAGAAAATGGWAAGTTCCGGAGAGGACGAAGGTATGTTTTCCTGGACAGCCTAATTGCCAAGACTCCTTAAGCAAGACACTATGCAAAAGACCAGAGATCCCCGGACCTAGGAGAGCAGAATGATCAAGACCAGAGCCCACCGGCCCCGTAACTTCTAGTTATAAAGCCATTTTCAATTAGGACCCGCCAGCCAGGCCAAGACGGCAAGGGCTGCCCTCCGGTTGCTAGCCAGGGTAGCCTGTAGACCCAGAGCCAAGGGGACACTTGGTGGGGATCCTCCAACAGTCTCCCTCTTTCCCCAGTTGTTGTCATCAGCTTCTCCGCTGCTGTGATCAAAAGACCTGACAAGATCAATCAGAGGAGGAAAAGTTGGTTTGGAGCTCACGGTTTCAGAGGTCTCACTCTATAGATGGCCACGTCCACTCCCTGTGGCTCCAGTGAGGAGGAACATCCCGGGGGCAGAGTGTGGTGGAGGAAAGGGGCCCAGGACATCACATCAGAAAGCAGAAAGAGAGCGCTCCCCGCCCCCACAGACAAAATATAAACCCAAGGCCGTGCCCCAGTGCCCAGCTCCTGTAGCCACGCCTTGGCTGCCTGGAGTCACCACCCAGTTAATCCCCCTCGGGAGATTCACACCCTGTGAGCTCTCATCACGTGAACCCTCTTGCACGGTCTCACAGGAGAGATTCTGGGGCACAGTCCCCATCCGAACCATAACCAATAAAAGCTGGGACACAAAGATGTGAGCTGCCCCCCCTCTGGGAGGACCCGCTATCTCCTTGAGGGTGCTCCCCTCCGCTAATAAACACTGCTCTGCTCTCACCCAAGAGCCCAGCACACAAAGCAGTGTCTGCTAAGACCTCCTCACAGTAGGATCCGAGTTTCTCAAGACCCCGTCSTGTCCGTCACGTTTTTGCAGACGCCGGGGAAGGCAGGGCAGTGGCACTTCTTCCTGCACCCGGGTCTGCAGCATGAGCACGGCCTCCCTCAGTCTCTGTGGGAGGCCGGACTGGTGCCCTGCTGATGCCCTGCAGCCTGCGCTCAACACCCCGTGAATGAACACAGGCTGCAGGAGTTAGGTGCTGGATGAAAGTCCTGTTTCAGGTTCCTCCCAGGTGACTTTTATGGGCAATCATATCCTGATGGCATGAGAGCAGGAAGGAGGACAGGACAGGCCCTGTGTGCTCTGCCTTGTGCCATTTGGTGGGCCTCAGCTGGCTGCTTCTTCCCTGACAGCTACTACACCCCCCTTCCTCCTATGCAGGGCCTGGCCTGGAGCTGAGGTCAGTCCGCTCTAGTCCACAGAGGTGGGGCCCCACGACATGGTGACCCAGGCCTCGCTGAAGATCAGAGGCTAACAGAGAGCCCCAAGTTGGCAGAGGACCACGTGGCTCCTGGTCAGTGCTGCTCACAAAGGCCCAAGCACGCAGCCCTGCAAATCCTCCATCCACACACAGACCCTCGGAAGACAGTGAGCTCTCCCTTCCAGCCCCTGCCTTAGGCAATGCGTCAGTCCCTTTGCAATGACTTCTCCTCCCTGCAGAGTCCCCTACAAGCCCCAACGGGTGACACAGTAATGACATGGAGAGTGATCACAGTGCCAGGGGTTTGCTTTGCCCCGCCCCCCTTGTTTTTAAGTTCTACCAAAAGCCCTCAGACCTGCACTTAGAAGTCCCCATGGGGCCAGTCACGATGACATACACCTGTAATCCCAGTGACTCAGGAGGCTGAGGCAGGAGGATCTCAAGTTGAGGCCAGCCTGGCAACTTGGCAACCCTGCAGTTCCGGAAAGGCTGCAGTGCTGAGAGTTCAGAGAAGCTTGTTCCCCCACAGTGGGCTGATTTAGGGCAAATGCCATGAGTATCACTGTTGGGGCAAGAAATTCTCATCCTGCTGACTCATTCAGCAAATGTCACAGAGCCCTCACTCTGTTGATACAGAGGCCACAGATGGGCACTGTTCAGGGCCTGCTGTATATGTGTGTGGGATTTATTCTTAATTAAAGTGTAAGTTACACACAGTAAAATGTCCCCTGGCTCCCCAGCCTTCAGTGCACCCCCTTCTGTAAAACCACAGGGAGGAGCTCTCCCCTGGCCTGCCCTTCGGGGACCCCAGGCCTCCAAACCTTGAACTCATCCACACGAGCCTGGAGCTTTCCCACCAAACGGTCCAGCACGACGTAGTGATTCTTCATGGACTCTATTTGGGTGCCCCAAACTCTCTCAAGTTCCTCTTCCTAAACAAGGGAGACACAGACGGCTTGTGAGGCTGGAAGAGGCCTGAGGCAAGGAAGAAGGTGCCTGACCTGAGCGTTCTGGACAGTGTGACAGGGTGGAACAGCCGCCTGGGACTCCTTGGAAGGGAGCCGCAGCCACCCGCCCTGGACCGCATCCTTGGCCCTGCTGCGCTCCCAGGCCACCTGGCAGCTGGCGGGCAGATGCTCCACCCAGGAGGGGTACGGGGGCAGTCCACCTCCTGCTTGCCTCCAGCCCTCACTGTCTCAAAAGCTCCTTCCTGAGAGGGACACTGACCTTCAGCCTGGACTTCTGGATGTTATTTATCTTGTCCTGCAGTATGTCCACGGCCGCCTCAAGCTTGGAAGAGCCTCCCGCGTGCGCTGAAAGCAAAAGAGGGAGTGACTGTGGGGCAGGGAGGGAGCTCCAACCACCTGCTCTTCCCAGGCCCCTACGGCAGGGCTGCCCACAAAAGTGTGCCCAGACAGGGCCTCGAGGGTCCACCGGGTCTTCCACAGTCACACTGTTATGCGTGTGTGCACGCACCAGTGTGTGGTGCTGGGGACTGAACCCAGGGCTACTCTGCCCCAGAGCTACAGCTCCAGCATCTTTTTTTTTTTTTGACAGGGTTTTGCAAAGGTGCTGAGGCTGCCTGGAACTCGCGATCCCTCCTGTCTCAGTCTTCTTCTGAGACACTGGGGTTATAGGTGTGTGCCACTATACCTGGCTAGTAGACACGTTTTTAAAAACTCTGAAAAGAACAGGTGGGATTACTTTTAAGAAAGTGTTTTATCTAACCTATCTATCCCAATAAGCTCTTTTAAATATGCAATTCAATTTTCCTGGGAAGGTACTGAGGATTGCACAAGGGCTTGCACTTGCTTAGGATACACTACCACTGAGCTATACCCTCAATACTGTGAAGTACTTCAAAACCATGAAGCCCTTTATTTTATTTTTTTTTTTTTTTGCATTGCTGGGGATGGAGTCCAGTGCCTTGTGTGTGCTAGGCCAGTGCTAGACCATAGTCCTAGCCCTGATATTTATGAGAGTCTATGAAATGCATTATACCAAGATTAATAGAAGGGGAGATAGTGAAATTTTACCAAGTGGCCTACATGCAGTATGGACAAGCAGCCAGAGAGGCCAGATCCATGGAAAAAACAGGAGCGGGACACGGCAGCTGGCCAGGAGGAGAGCGTGGGCTGTTACTGCTTGTTTACCACCCTCCTAATCTCAGCCATCCTAGTGTTGACAGGTATCAATAGGGTTCTTTTTAGCTACATGAAGTTCCACTTTCCCCCTAAGGTCTGTGGAAGAGCAGTGCCCACCAGAGTTGCCAGACAGGGACGTGACTCTGGTGATCGCAGTCACTGCACGTCTCAGTGTGCAGAGCCGGGGATCTAAGTGGGCTCCCAGCAGCAGCAGCATCCACTGGGAACATAGCAGAAGTGCCACACTCTCAGTCTGGGATCTGGCTCGGTGTCAGAGTGCTTGCCCAGCAGGAGTGAGGCCCTGGGTCCCACTGCTGGTACCACTCCCCCCCCCCCCCCCCCCCGCCAAAAAAAAAAAAAGGAAAAAAGCAAAGAAAGAAGGAATTTCAGGAGCAATTTTCCTCTTTACGAGTCCCACCCTCCCAAGATAGTGCCTCACTGTACATTCCTGGTAAGTAAGACATTTAGGTCAAAGGGATGATAGCTGCTGACAGCTGATACCGATGTCACTGGGGGAGCCCCAGGAAGGACGCAGGCTTCAGGAAGGGCCTGAGCCCCTGCTCCCCTCCTACCTAGGTAAGCCAGCTGCTGCTGCAGGTTGTTTGACAGCTGGGCAAACTCTTCCCTCAGGGAGTCATGTCTATCCGGCACTTGGGCTATGTGGCCCATGGAGCGCTTGACCGCCGCCTTCTTGTCCTGGGTGCTCTTCGCCTTCTTGGCAGCCTGCATGGCCTGTGACAGGGTTTTGGTGGGAGGGATGTCCTTGGTGGGGAACTGGGGAGCCAATTCTTCATAATCTACCACCAAGTCTTGTAGCTGCTTGCTCTCCTGATCCAAGGTCGTAGGTTCGGCTGCCCCGCGGGAAGACCCTGCACCCGAGACATCTGAACGGGGCCCAAAGGGCCTGGGGGCAGCCGCAATGGCGGTTTTAGTAGCCAGTTTGCTGGCAGGGGCATCGGTGATCGCCTTGGCAGCAGCCTTGGCTGTCTGGGCAGCTGAGTTGGCAGCCGCAGCGTAGTTTGCAGCCGCTGCAGCAGCAGCAGCAACAGTGGTTTTCAATTGCTCAAGGGCATTCTGGGGACCCTTCAGGTGTGCTTCCGAGGCCCTAGCTGTGGGACCCTGATCCTTGGTGGCTTCACCTGGGGAAGGCCCAGCCAGAGAGTCTACCATGAGGTAAGGGTAATATTCATCCCCCTTTTCTTCCACAGCTGGGAGCTCTGGGGCCTCAAGAGTCTGGTGCAGCTGCAATGGAAGAGGCCACGAGGATCCCAACTCTGTGGCTGGGGGTGGGGCCCTGGGGGGCTGCTGGGAGTCTGATGGACCTGGGCCAGGCTGGAAAAAGTCAAACAAAGGCCAAGTGCCAGCTCCAGGCCTGCCTCCTGGTGGTATGGGCCAAGCTCCTGGGGCAGGTTGAGGTCTGGGTCCAAATACAGGCAAAACTGCTGGCATGAACCCAGGTGTCACACCAGGCCCCACTGCAGGCGTGGGTTCAGGCTCCAGCCCTGGCCCAGGCCCACGAGCAGGCCCAGATTCAGGCCTAGAAGCAGGCCCAGTCCCAGGCCAAGGCCCAGGAGCAGGCCCAGTCCCAGGAGCAGGCTCAGCTCCAGGAGCAGGCCAAAGCCCAGTCCCAGGCCAAGGTCCAGGAGCAGGCCCAGTCCCAGGAGCAGGCCAAGGTCTAGGAGCAGGCCCAGTCCCAGGAGCAGGCCCAGTCTCAGGAGCAGGCCCAGTCCCAGGAGCAGGCCCAGTTCCAGGAGCAGGCCCAGTTCCAGGAACAGACCAAGGTCCAAGACCAGGCCCAGTCCCAGGAGCAGGCCAAGGTCCAGGAACAGACCAAGGTCCAGAAGTAGGCCAAGGTCCAGAAGTAGACCCAGTCCCAGGCCAAGGTCCAGGCCCAAGCCAAGGTTCAGTCCCAGGCCAAGGTCCAGGCCCAGGCCAAGG